AGCAGAGCTTTTGAGGGTGCATTAGAGCCAGTGCAGGTGGGTAGGTACTGGCTTCCGAAGTCTGGAGATATGAACAATGCTGCAAACATCAACACAGCAGGAAATAAACAGCACAACAGCAGGAGACAGGGATTTACACTGTGCCAACAGGAGTTCATTAGGGAGCTAAGAGCAGCATGACTGGCTGCAGGGGGCTTCTGCATACATTGTTTGCAAAGAGGGAGACTGGCTATCACAGACAGGCTGCTGCTTGCACAGATCTTGAGCTTGTTAACTCTGTAGCCAGGGCCGAGAGGGCCGGGAAGATACAGACAGGAGTCTGAGCTGTGATCCTCACCAGCGCCTGCTTCAACTGCTGCTGTCAGATTTTCATGTGCCCTGCTTTCCCTTACAAAGCGAAATGGCGGCTCCTTTAATCCACAAGGCTTAAACAGGACTGGCATAATGCCAGCTAGAGAGACCCAAACCAACTCCCCACATTCAGACATCCCCAGGGTAGGAGGAAGTCTGGGGTCAGACTCAAACCCTGCCACAGCCCCCATCATTACAATGGGTCAGCTCAGCACCTCAGCCCCGCATGCGCATTGGCTGCACTCAGATCCATCTCTGGTTACAAATGCAGGCCTCAGAGGAGAGCCCAAGCCAGTACACTAGTGATAGCAATTTCAAGTTTTTGTCATGCCTGCAGTCTGCCGTGTGAGGAGGACTCTGGGTCTGCCACAAAGGGATGATTACGACAGAGCAATGGAGCCCTGGCCCGTGGGGTGTCTGGGGCTCAGACTTTGTAGTCCTAACAGGGATGATCTGGTGCAATGCAGCATTCAGATGATGGTTGTGAAAAATTCAGGTGGCCAGGAACCTACCTACTAGGGTGACCAGATGTCCCGATTTTATAGGGACAGTCCCGATTTTTGGGTCTTTTTTTTTTAATATAGGCGCCTATTACCCTCCACCCCCTGTCCTGATTTTTCACACTTGCTGTCTGGTCACCCTACTACCTACCCCCCCTCAATGGGAGCCCCACTCCTTAGAAACTAGCCAGAGCAGCGAGAACGCAGCCAGATAGAAGTCAAGTGAGAGATGCTGGCAGCCAGACCTGCACATATTTGTAGGACTGACTCGCCCATTACCAGATCTGCTCATTAATCTCCCCAGCAAACATCTGGTGTCCTGTCTCCAAGAACGGCCAACTGCTTCAGAGCCAGGCAAACCTCCCCTCAGTGCACCTGCTGGCCCCCCTTCCACACACAGGCAGGCGATCAGCTATGCTGAGCAAGTCCAGTTCCCCAGACAGGGCTCCCCAACTGGAAGCAGAAGACAAAAGGGAGCTGCACTGTGTGTGTGTGTTACACATCAAGATTCAGCCCTCCCCTGCATTCCCACGCTCCCTGCGCTGCTCCCATTACTGATGGGCTTTGGCAGCAAAAGGGAGAGCAGGCTGCCATTGTGAACAGCAGGGCTGGTGAGCTGCAGGGGCAGGCAGTACTGCCGCTGAGCCTGTGACACAGCGCAGAGTCCCTCCGGAGAGCTGCCCTAGAGACAGGCATGGAGCCTCTCTCTCAGAAAGGAGTCAAAATCACTCCTCCCCTCATACACACAGCCACAGCCACCCCCCCCTTCAGAGTACACACAGTCAGAGTCACTGCTTACACAAGCACCACCCCGTCCAGTGTCCACACACCCTGCATTGTCTCATGCTCAGAGCCAGGGCCGGCTCCAGGCACCAGCCGAGCAAGCTCGTGCTTGGGGCGGCAGATTCCAAGGGGCGGCATTCCGTCTAATCCTCTTTTTTTTTTGCGCTTCACCGCTTTGGCCACCCCTGAAGGGTTTTTCTTTTTCTTTTTTGTTTGCTGCTCCCGCCGCCCTGTAGGGGGCAGAGGACGGGAGCGCCCTGCAGCAAGCCCGGCAGGGCAACCTGCGTCCTTCCCTCCCAGCCGACCGGAGGGGCGCAGAGCCCTCCCGGCAGGCGGTGCAGCGGGAGGGGCTGTGTGGCAAGCACCCCGCTTAAGGAAGACCTGGAAGTCCCCCTTCTCTCTTTCCCCCCCAGCTAGCCGAGGTGCGCACTCCACTGCCCAGGGTCTGCAGGGCTGGGAGTCCCCCTGCACCCACGCTTCCACTGCCCCGCAGGTTATTTTTTTTTGTTTTTGTTTTTTTGTTTTTTCTTTCCTTCACTGCTCTGGCCGGC